CTGGGTCCTCACGTCACCACTCCAGTGCACCCACTAACAGTATTCTGAACAAGGCGGTATCTTGATACTTTCTGTTCTCACGTCCACAAGGAAGACTGTGAATTTCATTAAACCACAACACAATGGTAAAAACAAGTTGCCAGTTTTTTTATTCTGCTGAAAACATATATTTATTAGCAGTTAAACACAAAAAACATAACCTACTGCTTTTGGAAAGTGTAAAGAATATAGGATCGTAGTTTTGTAAAATACGACTCTCAAGCTACTGTAATTGATCACCATGCATTTTTTGTTGTTGCAAAGTGATTGCATGTCACACACTGACATAAAATTTCAGCCACTAAAAAGACATTTTCCTGTCCCGCTAACTTCTATTGGACTTCTCACAATATCAGGCACATATCATGTACAATATGACTATTTATTTTTATTGCAGCATTATTTTTCCACCAAAAGAAATTTCCTATTTTTACTAACTTTTGATGTAAATTTCTTTTCCTATTGTTTTTTTTAATTTTATTTATTTTACTTTTAGAGAGGGGAAGGGGAGGAGAAAGAGAGGGAGAGAAACATCTGTGTGTGGGTGCCTCTTGTGCGCCCTCTACTGGGGATCTGGCCCACAACTCAGATATGTGTCCTGACTGGGAATTGAACCAGTGACCCTTTGGTGTGCAGACCAGTGCTCAATTCACCGAGCCAGACCAGCCAGAGTCTTCCTATTATCCTGAGGAAGCATTCTTTAGTGGAGACACATTAGAAGAAAAAGTGCTGCTAAAAATAAAAAGTAAAAAAAGCTTACCAACTTTTAAAAAGACATACAACTTACCAACTTTTAAAAGGAACAAAAATTCGTAGACATCAACTAACTCTGCACAGTAGCTGGTTCTCCAGCCCACATTTTCTAATAATAATAATGCTAATAATTCCATCATTTCACCTGTCAAAATTCTTTGACTAAAGAACAGAAATCACACTGACTTAACCTAAACCCAAGGGAAGTTTTTCTGACAAGAATACAAATACGTCAGTGAGTCAAAGAGGGATCGGAGCCGAACACGGGCAGGTGTCAGGACTACGGAGCCCTCGCTCCCTGTCACCTGCCTCACTTTGCTCCCGGAAGACGGCCCCGCCCTGCTCCTCCATCCTTACGCCGAACAGAGCTGCCTCCCAGCGCCCACGTCACATGCATGGTGTCGAGCTGCTCTTTGGCCTCAACTCCTCACCTAGAGACTCGGTTGGCCTGCCTTGGCCCGGTGGGCACCCAGGGGTCAAGGGCACCGACCGACCGAGACTGGGGGGCTGCGTAACACCACAGGGCTGGCCCTGAGCTCACCCCGTGTGATGGGCCTCGTGGGGCTGGCCTGTTACCCGAGGAGAAACGGTCAACCAGGTGGCCTGAAGCCCCAAAGGTACCAACCACCACGCTTTGTTCTCTGCGAAAAGACGCCTTCACGTACGGCTCTTTGATGACAGGACTCTAACAAACACAGGACGTCTGCTCGCTGGCTGTGACGTGAGCCCAGACGAAGCTCGTTCGTGCCAGGGAGACTTTGGTGAAAGAACAGCTTCTGAACAGACTCGTGCAGAGCTTCACTGAAAACTCTGGCCAGCAAAAAAGCAGAAAAACATTACAATTTAAGGCCATTTTTGTTTTAAAAAATGGCAACTTCATGTAGTCACACCCGTCATTCAGCCAAAAGTAACTGAACCTGTGGAATGTTAGAGTTTTACTGTATTGCTTTTTCTCTTTAATTTTTTTCTTAATTACTGATGAAATTAGTTGCTCTTCCACCAGTGAAAAGGCCGAAAGAAACATAAATGATCCATGTAATGCTCAGGTCCAATGCTTACTTACAGCGGTCAGTTCGGACATCGCGTTGATGTCCACAGAGACGTGTTTTCCACCGAGTGGCCAGGACGGCTCTCGGGACAACCTGCGAGCAGCCAGGCTCCTGGCCAGGGCAGAGCAGCGCCCAGAGACAACAGGGGCTGGGGGGCTGCGGCCTGGGGGGCACGCACATCCGACTGCCTCGCTCTGCACGCTGGTTCTGTCGCCTGCAACGCCCGCTCCTACTTGCAATCTCACACTGTGTAAAATACTTTCAGACTTTTTTTGCCAGCAAGATAGAAAAAATTAAACGGAAGGTCTGATATGAACTGAAGATCTTATGCTGGGAGTAGCATCACTGTGCAGGAAAAATAAAATAAAGTGGATCCTTCCAAATGTTTCCCCAAAGGGCAGGCGATGGGACAAGCACGAGCCGAGGAAGCAGGCAGCACAGTGACCTGCTAGTCCGGAGCACGGCGCTCCTCGCCGCCCCGGGATGCTCCTAAACACGACTCTCAGTCCTGGTGAACTGGGTGTACTGGGGCTGGCTGGCCCGGGGGGCTCGTCGGCACCCTGTCTTCCCAATGGGCACCGGGCATGCGGCCGGCACCCAAACACCTCTCTTCACCTGAGAGGACGGCGTGCTCTCCGATGTCTGCGGAGTCCTTCGTCGGTACAATTCCTGAAAACTGAGGCCACCCCGAGTGGCAGCCGATCTGAAATGACGCTTTCCTGTGTGTGTGCACACTTCATCCTGGTTCCCGTCCTCCTGCTGCTGCTTCTGCCTGGAACGCCCTCCCCTTGTCCCCCAAACCCATCCATCCCTCCAGGCCGTGGCAAACGGCCCCTCCCAGGGGCGACGCTGCCCTCTGCCGAAGCTCCCAGTACTGCCTCCGACCCTCCTCGCACGGCCCCGGCATGACGCTGCAGCCCGTGGTGCTGTGCCGGCGGCTCTCTCCTCCAGAAGGGCCCGTGTTCAGCACGTCTGATAAAACGATTGCTGGCTGACGACCCTCAGGCCCACGGCTCCCACGGGTGTGCAACGACTTCCCAGGCAGCACGCTCCCACACCTCCTCGTGAGCACCTCTGCTCCTCCAATGTGGGCCGTCCTTGGGAGGATGGAGGCCACGGGGGCAGCCTTGGGCCTGTTGCGTGTCATCCCGCAGAACACCTGGAGCCTCCCTGCTGGCCGGCTGTGGCCTTCTCAGGGGCCCTGTGAGTCTGCACAAGCAGCTGAAACCAAACGGCCCCTGGTGGGCCAGCGTGGGAAGGTCTCAAGCAGCTTATGGTGGAATTTAAGTGAACGGCTGCATGTAATGTTCTTAAACAGTGTCTGGCCCACAGTGGTGATCCGCTGAAGGTCAGCTAGCGGTGCCCAAGGTCAGAGGCCAGCCGAGGAGAGCTGAAAACTCAGGTGTGTTGCCCCATGTCCTGTCTTCCCTCCAAACCTACTCCAAAGAACTGGTTTTGCACCAGACACATGCATTTCATGGTGATTCAAACCACTGTCTTACTGCCCACAGACTCAGGATAAGCCTGACCTGAGCGTGTCTCCACACCCACTGGCTACAGCTGACAGCATCCCTCTGCAGTTCATCTGTCCACACCCTGCTGCCATGGCGTTTGGTGCTGGGGCCTTTGGAAGGTCACTAGGTCATGGGGGGGCCCAAGATGGGATCAGTGTCCTCGTCAGGAGAGGAAGAGCGCTCGCTGGCTCCTGTCTTCCCCAGGAACAGATAAAGGAGAGGCAGCTGTCTGCCAACTGGGAGGAGGGGCCCCTCCAAGCCCTGGCCCGCGGTCACCCCAACCCCAGGCTGCTGACGCCCAGCACTGTGAGAACTCAGTGTCTTTGTTGGGGCCACCCAGCCCGTGGTGTCCCGTACAGCAGCTCGCGCCAAGACGCTGCGGACAACAGGCGTGCCTTGTTATGATTCACGTGGGGACTCAATGAAGAAGGACATGCGGAGAGTCCCCCCCCCAGGAAAACCAAGTGAATCACTCTGGATTCAGAGAAAAATGCCACAGGGCACTGAAAAATGTTACGTCATTGAAGTCCGTGCAAGAAAACGTGCAAATCCCTGGAGCGCTGGGGTGGGGACCAGGTGGTGACCACAAGAGTCTCGCCCTCTCAGTTCCTGGTCCTGGGACTCCAATCAGCAGACTCACTCACACAAAACAGCGGCCAAAGGCCCGGGCCCTGCATCACACCACTTGCAAATCAAAGTACCAAAGTGACTTAAGCCCCAACGAATGTGTCTCTCCCTCTCTCTCCCTGCCTCCTCCCCTGTATCATTTTTATGACTTCATTGGGTTTTGCCTGGGAGTAAATGGCGAAGAGTGGCTGACCGAGTGACATAGGATCACGGAGCAAAGGGTGACTGTGCTGCTGGACACCTGACACCGGCCAGGGAGACATGAGCGAGGCACAGGCAAAGGCCCGGAGGCCCAGGGACATGGCTTGTGGAGAAAAACAGTGAACAGAGCGAAAGCCCAGAGAGATGGGTCGGGTCTGGATCTTCCCGGGCCTCACGAGGACACAGGAGAGACACACGGGGACACGCAGGGTTTCAAGCAGCGGGAGCCTGGTCTTGGCACACACATCCTCCCAAGTTCCTAGTGACAGCAGCAGTAAGGGGACGTGGGGGGCATGGGGACAGTGTGACATCAAAAAATAAAATTATTTCAGGAGTCCAAGCAGTAAAGGAGAGACTAAGTAAGGAGCACCGAAAACGAAAAGCGTTAGGAGAATCCACTGGACGCGCTCCGCGGGCGAGGGCAGGAGCGCTGCAGGGGAGGCTCCGGCACCCCGGGATCCGGGAGGAGTCTCTGCCCGGCTTACGGTGCAGAAAGGGGAGATGCGCGGAGTGAGAGCGGCCGGGCCCCCGGACGGAGCTCGGGGCGCCCGAGAACTGTCGGGGTCGCAGGCCGGGCCCCCCATGCTCCAGGACAGGGTCCGAGGCCGCGGGGGCGGTAACTGAGGTGGCCGGAGGTGAGCAAGGGTCCGACCGGGGCCCACCGCGGGGAGACTGCGGTGCGGGGAGGAGGAAGGAGAGCGGCTACGGCCCGGGGCGGCGCTCTGGGAGGCCCCACACGGTCCCCCCGATCCCGCGTCTCCGGGACACGCCTCGGGCGGGGCGACGGGGCGCGCACGCCTCCTTCCGGGAGGGGCCCGACCAGGCCGTTCCGCCGCCGGAGCGCGAGGCCCGGCGCGCGTCGCCCAACCGCCTCGCCGGTTCCGGGTGTTCGGGGGCCCCGGGGTGCGGCCCACCCCCGCCCACCTCAAACCTTGGGACCCTCGGACCTCGCCTCTGAAGCCCGCCCTGAGGCTCACGGGAAAGTCTCAAGCACTTCATTTTGTGTCCCCAAAGCTTTGTCCGTACCTTAACGGTTTGGTATTATTTGTTGTGCATTTGGCTCAAAACAAAGGGGGAGCTTGACTTCACAAGCTACTTGTGACAGAAAACTACAAATCCCATGAGGCAGTGGAGCTGCGGGACCACGACTCCCAGCAGGCTCCGCGAGACTCCGGCACCTTTAGGCGCAGGCGCTCCGTGCCGGGGCGGAGCAGCTTTGTGGGATGGCCGCGTCTGAGGAGGAGCCTGAAGCCCCCTTGGAGCCCCTGGACATCGCCTGCGGCCTGGAGAACGTGCCAGTTAGCGTGTGGCCCTCGGGGGCGGTGCCAGAGCCTTTCCAGGTAGGGGGCGGGGCTTGGCCTCCGAGTGTGCGCGGGGACCCACCCTCCTCCGTGGGGAGGGGCATGACGGCCACGGCGCTGCGCGCGCAGCCACTGGGGTAGAGGTGGGGCCTTGAAAATAGGGGGCGGGACTAGACTACAGCAAGTGCTGTGCGTGCAGTCCCCATGTGGTCGCACTTCTGTGGCTGTCTTGCGCAAGGTGCTCTCCAAACTTCTTGACTTTTTTACCCCGTCGCACCGCAGTTTGCGGGCAGGAATAGCTCATAGAAGCACAGGTCTTGGTCTTTTTCTGTTAACATTCCACAGTGAACTTAACGAGAGTATTCCTCTTTCCTGCCTGTAGACTGGCGGTGGTGCCCTGAAGGGCAGAAGCGGGTGTCATGAGGTCCCCTAGAAAGAGCCTGAGAACCTGGCTTTCTGTCCGCGTTTTGTCCCCAGAACTCACTGAGTCTCAGGTGTCATATGTAAGGTGAGGCATAGGTCTTATTAAGGGACCTCAGGCAAGTGTTGAGGTTAAAACCCTGGCCCCTTGAGTCAGACTTAGCTGACTCCGTGCTATGAGTTCTGGGTAAAAATTTTACCCCGTGCTATGAGTTCTGGGTAAAAATTAACTAGCCTCAGCTAAGCCTTAGAGCCCTCCCGTGCAGTTAGAATAATGGTACCTCTTTCTCATTGCAGCGAAAATACTGCTCCCAGTTTGCTGAGATAACTCAGTAAGCATTCATGACTGTTACTGCCTCAGAGCCCTTTCTATCCTTCTCACCCCTCTGACCTCGGCCTGCATGTTGCCTAAGGAATAAGGAATGGCCAAAAAAGAAAATAATGATAAAAATACCAGGATGTTGGAGTGGACATAGCCCTGGACCTGGCGGTAGGAGGGCTAGGGTCAGGGCTTAGCCTCCCAGCTATTCCTCAGATCCTGTGTTTCTTCGTCTGCAACAGGAAAACAACTTAAAAACAGGTAGCCCTTGTCACATCCATTATCAGTACAGAACCCTGTCTGTCCTCCCTGCTTCCTGGGGTTGTTTGAGGATCAAATGACAGCAGACTCAGTAGCAGTTTTCAAAGAGCAGAACAGAATGTCAGTAGCAGAAATGGTTGTTTTTCCTCCACCTACCTTAGGCACTTACAGTTACGATAAGGTTGGTTGGCACCATATTAAACACTGATCCCTAAAAGCTTCTTCATAGCCAAACGTTGCAGGCTGCCCGGTCAGAAACACTGATGAATGTGTTTTCTTCATTGAGTGCTTGTAAGGGGCCAGGCACCTGGTAAGCTGAGCATATAAGCCGGTGACACACAGTTCCTGCCCTTGAGTTTGCAATAGAGAGCAGAAGGCACTTCACTGCTATAAATGGTGGGGGGGGGGGGGCGCAAGCCTTGTGATTTATTCTTATACCTACAGCTGATGGGCATGAATGGAAATCAGGAGACAGACTCAGCCCCACAGTGCTCCAGCCACCTGGTTCTGCATAGCTCTGGGCAGAGTGAGAGTCAGAGAAAGGAGACAAGATCCTTTCCTCCAGGGGCTTACAGTTTCACCAAGAAGATAAAGCATGTCTGAAACATTTAAACAACAAGCCTAAAAGCACCTTCAGCTAGTTTGCCTGCGTATATTCATGGAGCACAAAAACCAGTCTTCTAAAGGTCAAAACAACTTGCTTGCCCCAAACCCTGCCTTCACAGGCACATGTACACATAAGAATTCAGGCATGAAAAACTCATGGGTTAAAATAACTGTGGGTTAAAAAAACTCATGGATTAAAAAACTCAGGTTAAAAATAACTGTGTCTAGTTTGCTTCTGAGTACTTCATGAGAAGGCAAAAGAACATTCCAATGTTCGGATTGGAAACAAGCATACCATAATGCCATGGGAACTGAAACCCAAGTAGAAGAAAAACGAATTGATTTGCTTGAACTAAGAGTTGGATCTAGCCACTTTTCGGGTTCCCGAAACCAGCTTCAAACATCCGTCTTAAGATCTTAACTTGGCCTTGAAAAGATGTCTGGCTGGCACACAGTCTCCTAATAGCTGCTTGGAGCAAAAACAAACTCATGGGGCTGGAGGCCAAGTACAAAGATTCTTGTAGCTGGTGTTTCAAACAACCAAAAAAGGAATGAAGGTTTTCACAGCACTTCCTTAAAACTCAAAACCAAGGCCAGGTTTGCAGCTCAGGATGCTGTGGAGTCGCACTTCGTATTCCTGGGTCTCAGCACAGAATGCAACTCAGAAAAGTCAGGCCTCTGACCAGAAGTTATCGAGAGCTTCAGTCAAGCAATGAAAAAGTAGTTCCTGGTCACCTGCTGCATGCCTAGTGCTGTGCAACCAGACCCCTGACCATGCCTTTCCCTGAGACACAGATCTGTTTAAAAGTCAAGGCCCCCACATCTAGTACAACCAGAGAGCCCTGCAGTCTATGCCACTTGGATCCCGAAGTTCATGCTTAAGTGCAGGTCAGTTCAGAGAAGGGAGGAATAGCGTGTGGGCAGGGCCAAGGGGGCATATTTACTCTTCGACCCACTGTCTTCTGTCTCCATTTTGGTTTCTTGGGTGACCATGGTTTGTTTGGGGTTTTTTTTATTTTCTTTATGTCTTCTAACAGAAAACTTGAAATCTCTACCCAGATCTTCAAGGACCTGGTTTCCAGTGCATCACTGTGCACCGAGCATTTTGCTTTGTTCGCAACTCTCACGCGATCCATTTCAAACTTTGACACAAACCAGGAAAAATGTTATGATGATACTAAAGATGATTTTTAAATGCCCCCTTTTGTACGTTTCCAAGTGCTTCTTCCAAAGTTCCAGCACATCATACACCGGGCAACAGGCCGTGCCTGTGGGTGAATGGGGTAAATCTGGGCTGGGCCAGCTCTCAGTGGCCCCCACGGAGCTGGGCAAATGACGGAGGCTGGGAAGTGGGGTGTAACCATACGGTCTCCTAGTCATGATTTTGGTTTGAGTATGTCTGAACCCGAGAAGTTTAACTCCAGACCCGGCCTTTCACCCCCTCTCAGAGAGCCTGCCCAGTTCATAGTGAGCACTCGGGGGCCAGCGCTGGAGTGAGCTTTGGACTTGGGTTCTCTCCACTCCTTCACAACCTGTGAGACAGACAGGGAAGTGTTTGGGGAGCTTAAGGAACGTGCCGGAAACACAACGTCTCCAACACGAAGCCTAGGGCAGCGCACCCAGAGGACGGAAGGCAGCCGCTGCGGGACAAGTGTGAGCTGCCTGGCACTGAGGACAGAGGGCCACCGGCTCCAGGAAGTCGCCAGGGACCAGGCTTCGCAGAGACTCAGGACCTTTTCCTTTCTCTGTCACAGTTTATAAACACAAAATTCTGAAAATGCAGGTGCATTTAAAAGCCCGAGAAACTTTCATATCCTCCCTTTCTCCTCGACTAAGCGGATTTATTTGCATGTATACTACTTCTACAGTAAATTTAAGTGTCTATTAATGTCTAGCCAACAAGTACAGTCTTTGGAACTCTGTCTGCAATTTCTTGGCCAAGTGCCTGTTTTTAGCATCGTGAAGATTCGAATACAACTGTAAAGTGTCTTTAAAACATCAGAGAATATGTAAGAATTTAGACATTCTTTGAATTTAAAAATTCCTTTTAAAAAATCAATGGAAGACACACTCCCAAAGCCATTTTTCATTGATTTCTTTCTCATCCTGACTCTCTTATCTACAAAAAGGATCTGAGGCGGCTCACAACAGAAGTACACACACACACACACACACACACACACACACACACACACCCCTACACGTATGTATGCACCTGTGTTACAGAGAAACGTAAAAGACCAGAAGCCGTGGACACCTAACTGCATCCAAAGCCCTAATACAACTGAGTTTCCGACATCCGAGGGAAGCAAAATGGGTTACAAAGCTTTCAGTTTCTGGTTAAAAAAATTGTTTTTCTTGTTCTCCCCATCCCTAAAGTGAAACCACAGAATTTGAAAACTTAAAATTAATGTTATTTTTAAATCGGAGAGTCATGTTTTCAGACAGTATTTTAACCTGCTGTGCTTGTTAGTTCTTTGGTGTTTTTACCGGTGTAGGAGTAAGAAGTCGCGCCCCCCAAACTGCTTGCTGGGTCCGGGAGGGACACCGCCCGCCGCGCTGACACCTGTCTCCGGTTTTGCAGTACACTCCCGAGCTCGTGGCTGGGCCCGGCGCGGACACGGACCCCGCCGAGATCACCTTCCCCGGGTGCGTCTGCCTGCACCGCCCCTGCGTCCCCGGCTCCTGCTCCTGCCTCCGTCACGCCGAGAACTACGACGAGGACGCGCGCCTCAGAGTCCTGGGCTCGGCAGCCGGGTGCGCGCAGCCGGTCTTCGAGTGCAACGCGATGTGCCCCTGCCCGGAGCGCTGCGCCAACCGAGTGGTCCAGCGGGGCGTGCAGCTCCGCCTGCAGGTGTTCAGGACGCGTCGCAAGGGCTGGGGGCTGCGCACGCTGGAGTTCGTCCCGCGAGGCCGCTTCGTCTGCGAGTACGCCGGCGAGGTGTTGGGGCCCTCGGAAGCGCGGAGAAGAATTGGGATGCAAACTCCGCTCGACGCGAATTACATCATAGCTGTCCGGGAGCACGCGTGCAGCGGGCCGGTGATGGAGACGTTTGTGGACCCTGCGCGGATCGGTAACGTGGGGCGGTTCCTGAACCACTCCTGCGAGCCCAACCTGCTCATGGTGCCGGTCCGCGTGGACTCGATGGTGCCGAGGCTGGCGCTCTTTGCAGCCAGGGACATTTGGCCCGGAGAAGAGCTCGCTTACGACTATTCAGGGAGATTCCTGAACCGAACGGACGGCGAAGACGGAGGAAGGCCCGAGGACGGGAAACTAAGAAAACCTTGTTACTGCGGCTCCAGAGTGTGCTCCGCCCTCCTGCCCTTCGACGGGTCTCTGTACTGGGCCCCGGAACCGCCGGGCGCCGGTCAGGGAGGACAAGTGCGGGAGACGCGCGCCTGCCCTCCCCGGACAGGAGGGAGTGAGGGGGCGGCCCCTGCAGGTCCCTCCCAGTGAGCGCGACAGGAATCAGGGAAGGGTGTGACCGCTTCCACCCGGAAAACTCTAGGCGGGGACCGCCAGGCACACAACCGAAAGTCACCAGAGGACGTGGCTGTGGAATGTTCGCGGTGCACGTCGGGTCTCCGCACAAGCTCACGTCTTCCCGCGGCAGGGACGTGAACACCCCACAGGCCGGCCACGGCCCCCACGGGAACGGGCTCGTCGAGCCCCAGTCCAGCTCCTAGAGGGCGGGCGTCTGTTGGCTCCTTCTTCAAAGCAAGAAACAAGTTGCAAAAACAAGTTACTTACGGAGACCCTTAGAAAGCTAAAAGACTCGTTTGGGCCCCACAGTGTAGTGTTATTTAATAAGTTAAATTAATATCTTCTTGAGTACACTCAGCCCCTAGCACCAGGAGGCCCTGCGCTTTCCAGTTCCGTTGTCGGATTCGCGTCTCCCCTGCCTGCGGCCTCTGTTTTGGGGGCTGACCACACACACCTTGCTTACCGCCCCTCCCCTCCCCCCCGCCCCTCCCCGGAACATCAAATGCTCCGCCCACATTTCTCTAACCGAGAAGACTCCATTGGGACTCCCCAGAGCGGCTTCAGCACGCTCGTTAGTACACAGCGCCCCTCGGAGGACAAACACTGCAGTAGGTGGTAATGGGACCCTGGCTACAAAGGCAGCCTGATTCTGAGCGTCCTGCTGGCTTTGTGAGACGTGGAGGTTCCCAAGTCCCAAGCTCCCAGTGCAAAGCCCACGGTCCCACCGGAGAAAGCACGAGCCAAGGGTAACCCAAAGGCCACACGCCCCCAGGAGGCTGCAAGCCAGGGGCTGCAGGTGCCCAGTTCCCACACACGCCAGATGCTCAGGTCAGGGCCGAGTTACGGAGAACTAGAGACCCGCTGTGGCTTCGGTGTTCTGGGACTCGGTCAGCGTCTGTTGCTGCTGCTGCTGCTGCTAAAGGGGCAGCAGAGCACGGGCTGCTCCTTAGTTTTATTTGGCCGCCGTCACCTTTGGGCACTTCACCCGGGGCCCTGGGGACGGCCGTCCGGAGGGAAGGGGTCCTTGAGGACTGTGAAGTGAGGGTCCGCCGCAGGCCTCTGCCCAGGGGGGCCTGCCCCTACTTCCAGTCTCACCTCCCGCCCAGCTGCTGGGGTGCCATTCCAAAAGGGAGTCAGGGAATAGTGCCCACAGCAGCGGAAGCGGCCCCCAAGGAACGGCCCCGACACGCACGGGGATTCTCGGGAGCGGCCCCCGCTAACCCACGTCTGCAGACACAACGGGCCTGACAGCCCCGCTCCCCTCCTTTCTACAGAGAACTCGGGTCACTCAAACCCTGCCCTTACAGATAAGCTGGCTGAAGCCCCCAGCCGGCGACAGGTCCCTGTGCTCGGGAGGACATGGGACTCTGAGAGGCACCTACTCCCCAGCCTCATTGAAGCCTTACTCGCCTCCTGACCTTTGGGCTACAATTTTTAAACTTCAGAGGCACGTGAGGTCAGAAGCATCCCCAACCAAGCCACACACAGGAACAGTCAGAATTCTTAGCTCGGGGGGGGGGGGGGGGGGTGCTCCAGACCTCCCCACAAGGACAAAAATAAGTGGTAATTACAGGCGGCTTCCAGGTCACTGTGGGTTGTGGGCAGGGCAGGGGAGGGAAACAGTCAACTCCGGAAGGCTGATTTCATTAGCAGCGAATCCCTCCTGCGGCCGCTATCACGTGCCATCGGGATGGGCCCACTGGCACCCCCCCCCCCAGGGCTGTATCCCAGCCACAGACGGCGGGAGTGCGCCTCCCTGTGCCAGGCTGCCGTGGCTGTTCTCAGACTCATTTTAGCATTTTTTTAAAAATTGAAAAGCTGCCGATTCACTCTGCGGAGGGATGTAACTGGCACAGCCTTTTTGGAAAGCTGTCGATACCCATCACAAATTAAAATAACCATATGCTTCGCTACAGGAGTTAGACGCCCAGTAATTCATCCTACGGAAATTTCTGTGTCAGCTGGCAAAGATGTAAGCAGGTACACACAAGTTTACTGGAATAGTTTTAAACAATGAAAATGCAAATAGCCCACATCATTCCCCTTGATGTCCGATGGGTCCCGCGAGCTGCCCTAGCCTTCCGCGATTCTGTTCTCACTCAGAGTGGGAGGCCCCACTGCCCGGTCTTCCAGGTCGCCGGCGCCACTTCGGCCTCACTGGACCGTGGAACCTGCCGCGCACGCGCCTCTCGGTTCTGCTGCTGTGTCCTTCAGCTCCGAGACTGTGCGTGACACTCCCTTGCGCTTTCTCTCTCCGTGGAAGTTCTCACTGTGTCCCTCTGTGTCCCCCGAGTTCGGTGAAGCCACTGCACAACCACTGACCGTTACATTGAACTCTATGGGTAAGTTACACGTGTCCACTTCATTAAGGATTTTCTCCGAAGGTGTTACCTTGTTCTGTTGGGACCTCAGTCCTCTCCTTCCTCCTCTCGCCTGACCCCCTGTGTGTTTCCGGTGGGCGGAGGAGCCACCCCCCCAGTCCCGCAGGGGTGCTGGTGCGCAGAAACACCTTGCTGTCCGCCTGGGCCCGGGCTCCTCCGTCTCCTGTGACCGTGGGAGCAGCCTGGTTTCTTCAGGATGGGTCCCCGCAGTGAAGGTGTGCCCGGACTGGGACCGAGGCGCTCCCGCCGCAGCTTCTAAAGTATGCACATGTATATATGCATATTTTAATGTATACATTATATATATCAATATATACACTCCTGTGGGACCACAATCGTTAACCCACCGGCCTCCAGACCAAGCAATCTGCAGGGGACTCCGGGCAACCGTTACAGAAACCAGGCCCCGCTGTGGGCATGAGCATCGTCCCGAGAGGCGTCCACGGGCTGCGGTGAGGCCGAGGGACAGCCGGCTGTGGCGGGGCCGCCAGAGGGCGCTGCGACTGCCGCCACCTGCTGGCTCTGGCGGGCAGCTCCTTCCGCGATTTGGGAAGAGCGTTTTTTTCCGTGGCTGTGTGCCTATGTACATTTATACGTAATCTGCATTGTGTATCAATACACACGTGTGTAACATATGTTTGCGAACGCACAGGAAAAGGGCTGGGAAGATACACCAACTGGTGAGAGTCGTTACCTGCTGGCAAAGATCTGGGAGCAGACACAAGTCCCAGAATGAAGGGCTTCTAAGGACAGTCTGCCTGTATTTTGGAGTTTCTAGTTTTACCTTATGTATTTTATTGTTCTTACAATTTAAAAAAACAGGTTTGGTGATGATGCTTGACAGTTATTAATAATAATTGTTAATAAAGGCAGAGGAGATGCAGAGAATAATCGGAGTACAAACACGGATCGTGCCCGGGCCTCCCCTCCCTCTGCAGGTCACATCCTCCGGCTCCACCCGCTCTTGACAAACCCAGGGATTGGCGCTGACGCACTTAGGACCGCTGTCTCCTCTGGGAGCCTGCCCAAGTCCGCGGTGCCCCTGGACAGAGGTTCTTCAACTCCAGGTATCACGTGTACGAAAACCGCAAAAAGCGACCTGGCCACTAGAGGGGGACATCACACATGAAACCATTCCAGGTGCCATTTCACGGAAAAAAACCGTTCAGAGGCTGGAGGTGCAGGGCAGCTCCGGCAGAGACTGCCCAGAGTGGCAGCCCATGGCCATCGTCGCTCTGACTCAGCCTCTGGCTTGAGACTATGTCCTGCAGCAAAAGGTCTCAGTAATAAGGATAAAGTCACCGAAGGGAATGCGGTATTCTCCTCCGCACTGGTCCGGATATCCACGGATGTTCTGGAACGGGGACGAAGGCTGCCTCGGGAGCTGCCCTAGATGGCGCCTGCAGGGCAGCGCCCGGCGCTCAGCGAGTCTGCAGCATCGGAGTGCGGCAGGGGCAGAGACCGGGAGGCCCTCCGGTGCTTCTCAGACGCTATTTGAGGAACCCCGTGCAGGACACTTTTTCCCATTCTTCACATACCGCCCGGTCGTCCTCCCCAGGGTCTGAGCCTGGTGCAAATGTGCCCATAAAGCGCCTTCTGAGATTCAGTATTTCCCATCTACCCGCCCTTCCCCACCTGGCCCCCGAGAATTCCACCTCTTTATGAGGACGATCATTTCACAGAAAGAAGATGTACATTGGGGGTAGGTCCGAGGGGGGCAGAGCAGAGCTTTTGAAAAGCCTAGGACACGAGCACTAACCGTGGCCGCCTCGCCAGCACGACCAGACTCACAACGGCCCCGACTCTCGGAGTTCAGAATGCGGGTGATGAACCAGGCCGGCATCTCACACGCAGGCCATTCTGCACTGACGACCTCAACCCGCCTGCCTCGATTCTGCCTTTCGTAGAAGTATTTCCATGTAATTTCCAAAACCACAGCAGCAGGCAGGGCAGTGGGTGGCCCAAAACCACGGTGCTGGCACGTGGTCGGACAGAGACTGAGACTGAGGCCATCTGGCCCCAGAGCCCGCGTGTTCTTGACCTCGAATGCACCTCACCACCACCGCGCTTCGTGCCCCTTCTCCCCTCTGCCCCCCACCTCTCCCCACCCCAAACTCACGACACACCGCAGATGTGCTGGTGCGGTAGGGAATGGAAGTCACCGAGATGGCCAGCCCTGGTTCAGCCCCCACAGACATGTCACCTGGGCACCGTGCGAACAGTCTCCACATGACCTTCCTGGGACGAGGGGGGAACGAAACCACAAGTGAAGACAAAATCCACCAGAAGGACAAGAGCTGCGTGAAACTTTAACCTTCCTCACAGGCTTAATGGTTCAACTACCTTCCAAGGGGGCAGAGGCTGGGGACCTGCGGGGTCCCCTCCCTGTCACCTCCCCACCCCCACACGCCAGCAGAGGCTGCCATAGTGGGGACCTCCCACTCTGTGCCTCCGCTGGTGAAGCCCTTTGGCAGTCTTCCTCTATCAAAGCGGCTCCAGGTGGTTCCAGTGCCTGGTGACTGGCCAGACGAGAGGGCTCCCTTCCACATCACTGAACAGCAAATAAGGGGTTTTTGGCAAGTGTCTGCAGCAGCAGCAACAACCTGGGGACTTCAAAAAAGCAACCCTCCAGGGCCCTTCTCCCACAAGGACCAAAGTAAACAAGCAGGTGACCCTCTTATCAGTGCTACCTGACAAGGACACTTATCTCTCTTGGTGGCTTATCTCTCTTCCGCCCAGAGTCCGGAGCTGGTTCTGCACCCCCAGCCGCACCCCTGCCCCCCCTTCAGGCTCCTCCTGTTACTCAGATGAGAGGCCCAGCCGACAAGGTGGGAAAGAGCCTTCCATTTCCT